TTATGGTTATTTGGGGGATAGGTGGGAGAGGAGGAGGATGATGATGAGTGGAGGCTGGTTGCCAAGGCGTCGAGTTTGGCTATGTGGGTTGAGTAGGTGAAGGCGAGGTGGACGCCATGCCATGCCGTGCGGGTAGAGGGTAGAGGTCTTGTGCCAGGCCGGCCCCGATACGGTGGCGATTGGCGGATGGATTCTCGTCAAAGAAGACGGACTGCTTACCCGCCTGAGGCGCCGGTGATCAGAAGCAAGCCTGCCCCCAGATCTCGTTTGTCGATCTGTATCGCTGCAGATCATACGCCCAGAAACACGGGGGGCTTCGAAGATGGCAGCTTTGGCACTCGGAGGACTCAAGACGTCGCCAATTCTGTCCAACACCATCTTCAGAAACCAGCATGAGCTTGGGGAGACCGAGACCCAGGCTTGAAGTGCGGCGAGCGGCATCTGAACGTATCCTCCAACACGTGTCCTGGAGAAGATAACTTCGGCGTCTGCAGCCTGTCCTGTCACCGAAAAGGATTACCGATGGGCAACCGCGTTAGGTCTGACTGTGTTCTCATCAAAACAGTAGGTTCCCATTGAGGTCGAATTGCCAATTGTAGACGCTTGGCTGCTGCCATTGCGCGCCGTTCTGCACCATAGGAGCGATTGTCGACTGGGCCTGACACGCTGCCATCGGGGCGAACATCGTGGCCCCTCCGAGCTGGTCACCCGACACGTAGTCGCCCACAGCCTCGAGGTCAAGCCAGGAGAAATCATTCGCCGGGCTGAACTGCATGTACCCTCCCGTATCCACCGTCAGAGACCCCGAATGCTGTGATTCAGCGCGCTCATTCGCCGGTGTTTCGGTGACCGTGCTGGAACGTGGTCGATGCCACAGCAGCTCAAGAAGTCTTGCATACCGAGATCCGGCGTCTTGGGGCCTGAGACTGGCCCGTCTCAGAACGTCCATGGTGTGGATGATCATTTCGCGGACGGACTGTTCCTCGGAATGGATCATGACATCGTATGACCTGGCTTTGTAGAGGAAGACGGCTGAGTAGATGGCGTAAAGATAGAAGCGAAGTGGCATGTATCGAAGGTGCTTTTCTGGATCGACCATGGAGTTCAGCGTTGTAAGATAGCTCTTGGCCGCGGCCAGGGACTCGTAGATGAAGCGTGCGTCCGGCATGGATCCGATATTGCTGAACACGCCTTTGAGGTGATCGCTCAAAGGCCTCTCATCCCCTTTGGGCCGGTTGGAGATTGCCTGCGAGATAGCGGCCTGGAAGGCGAAAGCATTTGTGTAGAGCCTCAAGTAGTCATACGACATTTGCAGCGTGACCTTGATGTGCGTGGAGCACATCAAGGTACCCCATATGCGATTCCAATGCGAAATAGCTGATCGGAACTCGTCAACATATTTGACGTAGTCGCCCATAAGCATCATCTGTCCGCTGGTGCGCATCCCCGAATAGAGCACATCGTGGACATTGGAATACAGCTGGGTGAGGTCAAGAGTGGCCTGGAAGATGCGAGCATAGTCTTCGTCGCCCGGGTTGATGCGTTGAAGCGATGGGAAGTCGTGGCTCGACAAGCCCGTCATAGGACCGGGCCCGCGCGACCAGAAAGCTTTGCCGATGCGGACGGAGATGAGCCTGTCTGAGATGTAGCAGCTGGCCCATGCCAGTCGCTTTCTTCCGTCGTTCTTTGCTTCCTCAGCGGCTTCGCTCCTGAATGCGGTCCGATCAAGCCCGAGAAAGTAGCCGGTCCGCAATGCTATGCCAACATGCATCCATGCGGCACGGTCTTCCTCGCCTCTGCCCACTGATTCGGTCTGATCGCGAAGACCTTGGGGCTCCCACTCTGCCAACAACAAAAGCGCTTCCACTGCCTCGACTTCGCAGTCATGCCCCGCGGCAATGCCGGAGATGAGGTCGTGCATATATCGTGAGCAACAAAGGTGAACATTGGAGTCGTCGAGCAGATCCTTGGAAGCAATGGTAAGAACAGCGGTCAGGAGGTGCTTGTTCATGGCGGCGAACGAGTCGAGAGCAGAAGGATCAAAGTACTTCCGGGGAACGAGCGGCAGATAGGGATGGTAGTGCTCAGCAAATCGTGCGACCAGGCTCGACACAACCGCCGAGGATAGGTATCCTTCTCGGACGAGACGGTATGCGGCGATTCCGCCTAAGCCGCCGCTGACGGAGCCTGTACCGTTGGCAATATTAGGGGAGAGACCATTCTGATCCGCTCTGGAAATTGCGTCTCCCAGCACGGGCCGCGCTTCGTCCGGAGCCCGAGTAGCCACATCTTTCAGGAGCTGCCAGGCATCTGAAGGATTTCGAGGTATTGTCGCGGAGAGGGCGCTGTCCACTATGGACACCGATTCATCGTCTGCCTCGACATTGCCCGTGTTATCCGACCGCGGCGTTTGGTACTGTTGAGGCGCGTTGAGAGAAGGCCGAGGAGGAAGATGCGCCGACTGGGCTGTAGCCGATGCTGAGAGCTCTCGAGCATTGCTCTGGGGAGAGGTTGCATGGGTGGACATGTTCTCGTTGCGGTTCTTCTTGCGAATGCGACTGCCCCCTCGGTTCGACCCCCCCAGCACACATTCTCGCCCTTCTTTTCGGCATCGCGTGCAGGGCGGATGGCCACCGGCATCGCTGTAAGCAGGTCAGTGCTGCGCCGTGGCTGGCAGAGCACGATGGCTGAACCGATGGGAGAACCGATGGGAGAACCGATGGGAGAACCGATGGGATGGGTGCTCGGCTTTTGAACTTACAGATCACACCTGCTTTTCCTGCCCCGGCAATGGAGACAGGCGCGCGATACCCGCTTCATCGGACTGGCGGAGTTCGTCTCGGCCATGCTTCAACTGCTCTAACATGCTCAAGCCAGGGCCCGCGGGATAGAACAAGCCTGGAGAGAGACGGGGTGAGATGCCAATGATCCACGCGGTCCTCGGTGCTCGTGTGACAGGTGGTCGATTGAATAATAATAATACTGATACTGATACTGACACTGAAACTGCCACTGCCACTGCCGCTGACACTGATATTGATGCTGACACTGATATTGATACTGACACTGTCACTAACACTGTGGTTTTCTGCTTGCCCTTCCTACCTCCCTACATACATACATGTTCACCTCCATTATTGGCCCCCCAGCCCCCAAGAACGGGGTAACAACAATATCTGCATGCTAGCTACACTCGCAGCAATAGAGGTTTCATCGGCACCTCAGGTCAACCAATATAGAAAATGTGGCATGTGAACTTCGCTGATGCGCCCTCGCTGTTCAGATTTTTCGTGACATTTACTCATCGATGGACACTGTTGGCGCGTGAAGATGCAGGTATCATCATTATTAATGGTGGAGCTGTTCCGGGGTCAATTGTGTCGCCATTAGACAGACAACAAAGCAATACCCTAACAGTCCAAGCCCAAGAGCTCATCTGCAAACTCACATGCCATCTGCCCCGTTCACATTACACAGGGGTGGAGAGCAACAAGCAACAAGCGACAAGCTCCAATGCATCAGCATGTATTCATCATGTCGTTCCCCTTGATGCTTCCCATTCACTCTGCACCTAAGCCAATGCCCTTGCCACCCTCACCAATAATCACTCCACTGAATCTGCCCGTTCCGCCCTCGAAACAGCCATCCTCTACTGCCGCCCATCGTTCCAGATCGTCTTCCCATCCAAATCTCATGCCCCAAGCCTGTTCCAGCACCCTCTTCTCAATCGGATGGATGCACTGCGTCAATTTCCCAAGTAAAGGCCAATCCGCCCCGGTATTCGGATTCTTATCACTCAGCATTACCCCTTTCTCCGCCAGCGCCGCGGCTCTGGCCTTCAGACCAGCGTCCATGGGATCGGTATTCGGCAAGACAAGGTCATTTTGATTCAGTTCCTGAATCGAGACGCCACTGACGCGCACATAGCCACAAGATTCAAAGACCAAGCGGGAGACGAAGCCACGGAAGCTAGGGGAAGGTCGAGGATTGGTATAAGGGTCACCAAACATGCCGGCGTCGTACTTTCGCTCGAGAAACGTGGCACCTGGTGTGATACGGTCGATGATCGCCGGCCAGCAATGAGTCGAAGGGAGAGATTCATGTAGCCACATGGAGGGTGGATGAATTGGCTCAAGTGATTCAGTAGCAGTGGTAAGCGGTGCCACAAGCCGCTGACTGTGCGTCGCGGTTAGCGACAGCGACTTCAATGTTAGTGTACGAAGGCTGGTGTCGCGTGATCTGATCATGAAGGCCTCAAGCATAAGAGGGCTGAGCCAAGCATTTTGTACTGTGAGGTGTTTGATGTGGCTGAAGGTGAGGATGGTAGAGAAATCTGGCTCGCTGACGTGGTTGGAGAGCCACAATCGAGGAGCCAGAGAAATGGGTGCCGGAAGAACATGCTGATTACGAGCCATGATGCCGGTTGCATGCTCTCCGCCACCAATGAATCCGATGGTCAAGTTAGAGAGCTTCTCCAATGGTGCGATGTGGGTTTTCAGGAAGGCCGACAACTGCAGGCTGGCGTCAACCGGCGAAACCAGCATACTCGAGTTGAAGTTCTGGTCGCCAGTAATATGCTCAGCCCGCCAGTCCGGACTGACCAGCACGGACAATGTTGTCAGACCCGGCAAGCCTTGCCACAGTTCTTTTTGTTCAAGAGAAGACAGAAGACCAGAGGAAATTCTGGCAATGTGCAACGAGTGCACTTGAGCAAAGCAATCCTTGTTGGCCAGAATGGATGTGATGTAGGCCGACAGAAACGCGCGTTGAGCCCACACGGTTTCCATGAGCCATTGCGCTTGTGCCTCGGTGAGAGAACCAGGTTGAAGCGGGAATGATCTTGGAGGAGCGACTTTCTTCTGGATGAGGGGGCACCATCCACCAATTTCAGCAGAAAGATTGTAACCGTTCATGATGATGGGAAATTGAGGTTGACTTCTCGGTGCTGGCCTTGACGATGTCGCAACACCAGCATGATTTCGATTTCGAGAACGTTCGTGGGCGGCATGCCGCTGACCGAAATGTGATGGAGGAAGCGTATTCGTCAACGCAGGGTTATATTGCATAGGAAGAGTTGCTAACAAGCCAGTGTGGAAGACTGCCGGATGAACAGTAGGAGCATTGTGCTGAGCTTGGTTAGCATGCATGGGAGGATTGTTGTTGTGAATCTGGCCGAACATGGTTTGCTGGACTTGGTGGTAGGCAGCACCGAGATTCAACATTCCAGCATTCAGACCACCGTTCAGACCACCGTTCAGAGGCTGAGGTCCTGCAGGTGGTGGCGGACCACCATTCGCGTGTGGAGCAGCATTGGCCGTAGCATTGGTGCTTGGGATGGCGCCACCTGTATGAGCTTGACCGTCAAAGTCAGGTTGGCTCACGATATTTTGGAAGCTTTGCAGATCTCGAACGGTCACAGATCGTAGGAACGTCAACTCATCAGACGTAAAGAGTCTATCGTATCTCTGAACAATCTGCATGCACTCGTGCAGGGTTCTTGTCTGAGCATATTCAAAGAGCTGGAGACGAATCGCCTGTTTGCGCTTATCCCCAGCAGAAAGGATTTTCCCAAACACTCTTGTTCGCTTGCCACATCGAACATGGAAGAGCGCCATATCAGATATGTCTGGACCATGCAGCCACCCATGGCCGCTGTCGATACTAAGACCCAGCTCATGGGTTTTACCCAGATGTGCCATGGCGGACTTGAGGAGCGAGATGTTGTCGGCAAGGTTTTCAAGCTTATGCAGATGGTTGAACCGTGGGTATACAGGAGTCGGCCACGAGTACTTTCCCCACCAACTCGACTGCTCATCAGAGATCGTCTTGGTCTGAGCCCTGGCTAGCATTTCTGCGTACAGTCAGTTGATCAGTGCTGATCATCCTTGAGTGGCCTTTTTACCTGTATCCACTTCGAACGATATGCCAAACTTCCGGATTGCCAAGCCATACTTCGCGAACATTGAGCCAGAACGTGGGCTGCGCTCCCAGTTGGCCGCGTTGATGTCGTACATAGCTTTGCCAAACGGCACAACCACGCTACCGAACACCGCTCCCATCATGGCAATGCTGAAATCACGACAGACCAATCGAAGATTCAACGCGTCTTCTCTGGACAGGTATCTAGCAATCTCCAGATAAATCTCCGTCGGTATATCTGGCCACCCACACCCTGTACCCCTTGGCCGGCAGACAAAAGGTTCCTGATGTGATTTTGCCGAGTCTGTGGGCTCATAATCTAGCACAAAGTATTAACGGACACGCTTCTCACAAGAGAAGCCCTTGAAATTTCAGGGAATCTTACTAGAAGCGGATAGAATCGTAGTGTTGCCCAGGGCAAATGTGTTATCAGACTGCGCCAATGATCAGTAGTGCATAAGCTTCTTAAGGCTGGGCTACCTGCCATCACTGCCTCTATTCCGTCAAGGTCTGGTGTTGGATTACGCTCCGTAGATAACACTCGGCTTCTCTGGAATAGGTCTGAACTTTGGCTCCCACCTTTGACTTGGTCATGCCTGAACAAGGACTGACGAGGGCCAAAAAGGTCACTCTCCGACATTGTAGAAGCTGGCCGCCTCCACCATTTTTTTCGCTCGGCAAACGAGTTCGGTGACATTAGATGTTCTGCGTCGTCATGGCTTGAAGTACTTTCCCCAAGATATCGTTGATCCGAACGTGGTATATTCGAACTCAACTCTGCAAAGCTTTGACCATCAACAAAGTCATCTTCATTACTATTTCCATTACCATCAGATTCTCTGTATTCGTGATCGGTTGGCTCAAGTGCTGGGCGAATGGCACGATCTCGCAAGCTCTGGCGACGATAAGCCTGCGACATATGTGGTGGAGAAGGTAATCGAGATCGTCTGCTAACGACGCCAGGCCTTGCTCGTTGAGCACGAGAGGTTTGATGTAGACTCCATTGATGGTCAGCGGAAGGCGTGTCATCGCCGCTGTTGGGTGGAAGGTGAGGGACGCCAGGCAAATTGTCATTTTTACGCACATCCTCTTCTCTTGTCACTCGAAAAAAGTTATGCACTGAGCTCTTTGTTAAATCGGCAGAACCAAGCGCGTTGCTACGAGAGTATGCCTCTGGGTTTGTTGTCGCTGCCCAAATGTCCAGAGCATCCCCATCACTGGGTCTCTCTTCATCGTAATCCTCTTGGTTGAGCATTTCAGCTTGCCTAAAACGCATGCTTCGCAAGACTGCAGCACCGCGAGGACTGTCATGAGGTTGAGGTTTGTCGTCGCCGTATCTTTCATTATGGATACTTGTCCGGCGAGCTCGTTTGGGAGCCCTTCTTCGTGAAGGCACGGAGTTTTCGTTGTTGCCAGCCAGCTCTTCTCTAGGGCGATGCCAGAGCTTTCTTGTACTCCAAGGCGTACCAAAGGAATCGGACAGAAACTTGTTCTCAACTTGAGAGGGATTTGGCAGATCTGCATCTTCAGTGGAGGTATCATACTGCCCAGTAGTAGACAAAGCCGCCTCTGAAAGCCTACCAGGTCCCGACAGCCAGGATTTGTGACCGCGTGAGCGGCGCTTAGCAAGATGTGATGAGGCTGGTCCTTGCGTGGGAGGTTGTTGATATGCTCGAGCTTGCCTGAAGAAGTCTGCTGCGGAATCTGGCCCATAATTTGTAAGGGCAGGATGTACTACCGGGATGTCTGTTTCGTCCGGCAGGTCTCGTGCAACGCGGATTGTTTGTGAATGCATGGAGTCGTGATGATTTCCAGTGACACCGTCCTCCCATCTGTCATCGCCCATAGCAAAAAGCCTCTGGAGAGGCTCTTCATCTCGCTGTGGATGATTTGGGATGTCTCCTGAAATTCTAGAAGGACGTCGAGCGGTCATGGCTGGCTGGAAAATCTAGCTTTCGTGGATGAAAAAAGAAGGAAAGTGAGGAAAGGAAGTAGTTGGTGGAAAGGCTGGCCATAAAGCTGGTCAGAAGGCAGCAGGGAGACCCTCCTATATTCGTATGAAGTAGAAGTAAGCGCAAGCGCAGAGGGCTTGAAGGATGGATTGCGGTACTAGTACTTGATGTTGATTGAATTTTGGTGACGGTTTGTCCGAGTTTGTGACGTTTGACTTCCCCATGCCACCTGCAGATTTGGCAGGTATGAACGTGTGGGGGCTCTAACTAGTATAATTAATAATAATAGGCAAACTCATGGTTTCGGCTTGGGAAAGAAGTGCATTTTGGTGACAAAACACCCGCCTCAGTGCACCCGCAGTCGGTTCTCTACTATGTATCTGAGCTTAGCTGCCAGGGCATGGCATCAAAATGAGTCCAAGCTTACAAGGTATTAACTACTAATTTTTCTACACATACCAAGACAAGGGAGTAGTTGTATGTCAAATCAATATCTTGCAGTTGTTTTGGCTTTATCATCATATGACATGGCACATTGTTATCTCCTTAGATCCGCCCTTGCACGTGTTATGTGTCCGAACCAAGACTGCAATGGGGATGGCTAGATTCGAGCTCCCTTTTAATCAGTCGAGCAAGCCGCTCCACTCCTTCTACCAGATTGTCCTCGCTTTCGTACGCGAAACACAATCTGATGTAGCTCTGGAATGATAACCCACTTCCTTCATCACCTTGGACTTGGAACGCGTTTCCTTCAGGAATACTGAGGACCTGTTCCTCGGCAGCCTTTCTGGTTATGACCTTGCTTGTTAGTGGCTCTGGAAGCTTCAACCATATGAAATAACCTCCTGCCACATCAGCATTTGCTTGAGGCGTTGAAACTCCTAACGGAAGAAGCTGCTGGATAATTGCCGCCATCATGGTGTGATATCGTCGAGAATAGGCAGGCTGTAGTGTACAGAGAATGTGCTTCTGGAGGGTGTTGGAAGCCAACAATTGATGAATGTACGATGCAACAAGCTGTGAAGGACAACCCCCGGAATGAGAAGAACCCCTGAAACTGTAAATTACATGCTGATCAAGGCGATTAGCAATCTTACGTTTGTGAGAGTCCGTAGGCGAGAGCTTTAGTCCCTTCCGCCCAGCCTGTCCGACATCCCGGTGCCACGATCTTGGTGAAACTTCCATTCGAAATCGCATTGCCGAAAGTCTCAGCCGGTCCGCCATCCAGATACCTACCGGATGGTCAATTTTATCTTGTGTGATAGCCACAGGGGACCCACCTGTCCACATCAACTATCCGTGGAACATATGCTTGATCGGGAAAACGGGCTTCAGTAGAAGTAGAAGGTGATGAAGATGGCCATTGTAGAAAGTCGTAAACATCATCCGTAACAACCAGAGCGTCAAACCTCCTTGCTATACGGACCAGGCGCTCTCGACGACCAATGGTCATGATCCTGCCAGACGGATTTGCAAAGGTGGGAACAGCATAAATGACATGCCTGTAAATTCTCCTCCATGGTCTTGACGCTTTCAATTTCTGTTTCAGGGCAGTATTTAGCATATGTGACATGCGAAACAATCTGAATTCAGAGGGATCACCGTACTGGCTCAAGATTGCCTTCTGCCCGCGCTTTCTCTTCGCTGTGAGCAATCTGTCTAGACAGCGCATCTAGATCAATCCCTTCCTCATCCTCTGGAACGCTCCTCAACCTTCCAGCGAATCCAGAATCTTCAAAGATGCGACATGCTAGATAGTAAGTCGGGGCTACCATCCAAATGTTACGTGTATATATTGGATCCGTAAAAGTCTGAAGAATGCATGCCAGATTCTGACTTGCACCACCAGTGATACATATGCGATCAGCTTGGATGGCATCTTGAGGTTTGTAAAACGCTGTCAGCCAACGGGCGACCTCGTCCCTGAGTGACTCGTAGCCTTGATCAGGGCCGTACTGGAGAGTTGACAGAGCCCTGCTCTCATCGGACAGCACGGCACCAGATGCAGCCTTCACCAATTCCGGAGGTAGCAATGACGGATTTGGCCAACCATTGAGAAGATTGACAAGTGCCTTAGATCGCAAACTCATCATGTACAGTTAATGCACCACAAATTGTCTGTTCTCTCTACCAGAACCTCAGGGAAAAGCAGAACCCGATGCTGGCATCGATGGTGGCCACACGGTTGGATGGATGTTGACGTAGAGAGGGCGCCCAATCAATATGGGCCTCGGCATGTTGACCGACAGCCTTATACTACTAGTACGGCTACAGGCCGAGTTTTTGTTACCCCGCTTGCCGAAAGACGCTTGTATCCGTACAAAGCGTGCTATTCAGAATTGAGTATAGACGCCCACAAAATGACCCAAATAGGACTGGTCTCTTAAAATCGATTTTGTATTCCATCGGCATCTACGGAGTATAACTGCTTGACATCTCGCCTGCATCGACTGAAACAGCTCCTTAAGATGTCAGAAGGCACATCAAGCCCATTAGTATCCAGATCACGTAGAATGAGCAGAATTTGCAGGATGAACAAAATTCGTGCAAGATAGCGATAGGGTTGCTGACAGGGATGTGTATGTAAAAAAGGCGTTGGTAAGATACTTTGACCCCGGGGGGTAACCAATATCCGGTGCTGCTGAGAAATGAGTTCCAGTGTGCAATTAAAGATTGTTGCAAAATAGACATTGACCGATGCCCTCCCAGAAAATGAGGATAAATAGGGGTAAAAGATGCTAGAGAAGCCAGATAATCGAATCAGATCAACGAAATCTGTACATCATTACCAGAGCGGTTAACCTTGCGCTAGAACTCACTTTCGGCGGCACCGAATAACTGCAAGTGACCGTAACTAGCCTGCCCCGAGTCCCCTAATTGTGGGAGGGCTTTTTAGCAAGGGTCATTCAAAATCACCCGCCCCCAAATGCGTAAGCTCTTTGTCCAATGACGTTGATTGGTTATGCCTAGTCATCAGTCCGTCGCAAATTTGTAGGAGCGGGGCTGGGAGGAATCACCTGAACACGTTGCTGCGGTAGACGATAGTATTCGTAACCAGAAATCAAAGGGTGAGCCTGTGTGCTACCCGGGCAATAGTTATAGTTTATGGAAAACGGGTAGAGTCGAAGTAGTTCCGAATCCCTGAATTCTTGGTATGTGGGACTCGATCCCCATACATTGGTGCAACCTTGCTGTTACCTTCGTTTCCTTACTACCTACATAAACACTCTGGTGTGCTATGTCAGCAGAAAACCCCTTACACAAACGTCGATCCCTGTTGCTATCAATAATTAGGTTGTCCATTGGTGATGGTATGACAATTTCGTTGGACATCTTATGAAGGAGCTGGCTATGATTGCCAACACCCTGTCTTGGACAACCGCAGTATTAATACCCAGCACTGCGGCAATATCTATGAAAAGTATCAGTACGCCATCGTCATAACGTTTCAAGTCGAATCCCGTTGAAGCGAGCACCTAAGGCAACCCACCCTCCACGCGTCAACCTACTCTATCCCGCCAGAAAGGAACAGTTGTACAAGGAAACACAAACAGATGACTCCCTAGTGTCATCCTCCTACTAGTATTTGCTAACCATCATGGTCACTCCTTTGAATAAGAGCGCAAGGAAAATATCCACGCTCTTCTCTTCTGGAACTTCACGGGACGACTCTGACTCGGTCTTATCACGTTCAAGCACCTCTTCACACCTGCGCGGCTCACCGCACGACTTCCCTGGCGCAGGGTTGGGGTCAAATGCATCATTACCTAAATCTGCTTCTCTCTCAAAAATAGCGGGCCACAGAGCGCATACCCCGATCAACTCCCATACCCAAATAATGCCACCTCCAATCAGTACCGCTCCGCTCTCTCCCCTTGTACCACCTCCTGCGCTTGTCAATTATGGCCAACCAAGATCAGCAAGCAGCCATGGCTCTGGCCGTAGCAAACCTAGCAGTCGAGCAGCCAGCCGAGAGGGCAGCAGAAGTCGTCCATCAACTCCAACCACGATGGGTCCTCCCGGAAGGGCGATCTCGCCCATCGCAAGAACACAGACCGCATCTCGAGATAGCAAGCTTTCAAAGAGACACAGTTGGCTTCCGAAAAAGCTGGGTCATGGGCCAGATGAGCTGGGAAGTCAGGAACCAAAAGCATGGATTGCTGGATTGCAGGAGCATGTACCATACGATTTGTCGCCTATTTTCCGTGGTGAAAAGGTATGCAGGGCAAACCTCCTGCTGGCAAATGTATTAACACAAACTGCAGATAACGGAATTGTGGAACGATAAAGCCGATACCTTTATTCACCTCTTTCCTCCTAAATCTAAGAGAGGTCCTTCATTTAAAATACCTTCAGTGTTGTTCTCCAGCTCAAGGAGCTTGATCCACAAATCTCGCAGTAGCAGTCGATCCAGTCCGGACCTCAATCGTTTCTCAATGGACTCGCGAGCCCTAAACGCAGCTACTCAACAATTATCTATCAGCGAACGCGACGGCTACCTATCACCTCGAGGCTCCGCTAGGGGTAGATCAAATAGTAGCACTGGCAGCTCTGCCAGTGTGCGTCTGGTGTATGATTTCCAGGACGAAGCAGTCGAAGAGCAACATCTCTACATGCCGCTCGAGCTGGAGACCGATTTGTCGGTTCCGAACAGTCGCTTCACCTCAGATGACATGGAGCTGCTTGTTCTATACCGGAACTTTTTTGCGTTCCTCGCTGGCGGTGCACTGGTTGCTACACAGAGGCAGTCTTCATTATACTCAATCTTTCTTGGAATTAGCAGCATTCTGTCACGGTTTGACTTTTCAAACCTGGACGGGTCTACCTTTGGTGAGGTTGTATCAAGCAGCTTCACGAGGTACTGTGAGGAACTGCGACTGGCAGATGTTCGGGCTAGTCGAGAAAAGACAATCGAAGCAATCGTGCTGGGTGAGAAGATGAAATCGTGGTCATTGTACAACGAAGGTTTTGTGCACGGGGCTGGCAAACTTAGCCACGTGAAGAGTCTCAATTCTCCCAAATACGCCCAGGTATCTCCGATCACTCGCAACCGGTTAGAGCGGGCAGCACTTGATCTTGAAGGTAGGATCCGAACCATTCAAACAAAGCTAGAGGACTTCGAGTTCCCGTCAATGTTCGCCGGCATTGCCAACTCACAGATGGCAGTCGAGGCCAAGATGATACGATTTAAAGCCTGGAAGACGGCCTTTTTCAATATGAGGAAACACGTTATCGCCCACTACCGGCAACGATATGGTGCATGGCCGCCTAAAGCCAAGTCAAAGAAGAACAATTTTGAGGAAAGTGGTCTGAACAGACTTTTGTTGAAAGAGGTCTATCAAGACTTTACAGATCTTTACGACATGCTTGCCGACCGAACACAGCTGACAAATCGTACGATTGATATGGCTGCTCCAGACGACAACTATGACTTCAATGATACAAAGGAATCTATGACCCACGCAATCCGTCGTGTTGAGTCCGAATACGATCGAAGTACGCCGCCTGTGCAACCCCCAATCCCTTTCGATACGCCCCTTTTCCCCAGTCTCTCGACTTCTTTCCACCGTGGCCACGTTACCGACCCTAGCAGAGACGCGAAAGAACGCACCCGCCGCCTCCGCGACAACGAGGTCAATGAGCTACTCCTCGGATCCTACAACCGGGAAAGCATAAGAGCAACCCCGTTCTTAGAAGACTTCCTCCGCCTTGAACGTCGGTCCGGGCACAACAGCACCATCGGCGAAATTGTCGACACACGCTGCGGTCAGTGGATCTTCATGTACGCTGTACTCCAATCTTTGCCCATGGTCGTTGTCGATGCCCGCGACGTCCAATTCTCCGAGGGTGTGGAATACTTCCTCTGTGTGCCACCACGGGGTGGCCGTCCCTGGATGAAAGAAGATACCTCCCAGAGCCGCAGCTGGTACAACGTCTCGTCAGGGGGTGGTCTCGTTAGTCTGCCAGCCGACACGATCGACCACTCAGTCGAGGGCATCTATCGACGTAGCCACTGCTGGACCGTCGCGGCGCAATGGGCCACAGCATCCGAAGCAATGAGCCCCACCACGCAGGTCTCGCTCGGCGCGGCGCTGCCCCCTCCTCCTGTTGTGGGCGGCTCACGAATCCCCACCCAGGTCAACAACCCGAATTTCAGCCCGGCTTTCACGCCCGTCCTGTCCGCTAATGAGCCTCTCCCAAGTCTCACTGCCCAGAATAGAAAATCCCGCAGTTTCAGCTTTGGTCTCGAGGCCCTACCCCTACCTCCCGGGGTTGCGCCAGATGGGTCAAGAGCAGCTAGGCCCGTTAGTATGCACGACCCGTCTAAGACTTTTGATTCGATCCTTGCGGGCGTGCAGCCGGCGAATCAGAAGAAGGGGAAGAAATAAGTCAGGTGTCTCTGTAGAGCTGGAGCTGGTTGGTTTGTGCTGAAGCGGGAGGTCGCTTGGAGTTTGGGGTTTTTTTTTTGGATTTAACGCATCGTGGTGAAGGGATGAACGGAATCTATCACACCCTGATACAGATAAAGTTTACATGTCCCGATTGAGAAGAAAAAGAAGCTGGTGTTTTTTTTTGGATAGATTTAAAAGAATGAAAGAAAGAAAGACAGGGCCCACATCTTGTCTATCTGATCTCGAGACCCTTAGAGACAAATTCCGATGATCCGTAACGCATGTCATGTAGCATATGAAAAGCTGTCTGCATCATATCACTAGTAGTTCCTTGCGGGTTTATGAATCTGATATCTAAGTCGTTGAATTTTCATGCTGGGAGGGGGAGAGAGACAGAGAGAGCGCTTCCTGTAATTGCCGCCGCTCGGTTGTTGATACCGCCGCTTCTTCCTGACCTCCTGACATTGACTGGCGTACAGTCCCGGGGTTCAGAGTGGTTGCAAGATTCAGCGTAGGTCGAGGCATGGCTAGGGGGGGTTTTCCATTCCTATTCTTTGAACACGAAGGATTAATT